GCCGCAGCATCGACCCACTCCAGCAGCGCCAAAAGGCGTCCCAAAAAGCCTCAGTCGTATCAGCGACGAAGCTTTAAATTGCCAGGGTAATGTTTCTTGAAAACTGCATCTTCCCACGCTGCTGGCCTGGGATCACGTAAAAATAGATGAGCGTTCAAGCAGCCGTGATAAATGCTGTACACGAACGAGAGTGCGAAAAGGTGCCTGCAACCGTCCCCCGTGGTGGAATAACACTGATTTAAAAAAGGCAGTTCACAAATTAAGCTGTAGAAACTTCAAACGCAAAAAAAAGAGGCGGCAGCTCAGCTGTTTGTGCTTCTGGCCGTGGCTGGGACTGTTCTGCCGGCGAACGGCCTGGCTCGCGTGGATTGTATCTGGTGCGTCAGGGTTTGGCTGGAAGGGGAGGGTTGTCTGGGAACATCGCATAGCCAAGAGGTTTTGAGGGGCTCTGACTCAGGGTCAGCTCGTAATTGTGTATAATGAATGCATTTGATAATTGCTTTTTTCTGTTTTTTCTCTCTTGCGTTTAAAAAAATAACATTAATTTTGCCTTGGGCACTTTATAAAGGTTGGAAGTGGGAGAGAAACTGCAGAAAGACGAGTAGTGGGGGAGCTGGGTGTCGGAGGCTATAAATGGATTTCCAGCCAGCATTAGTAATTAACAGTCATTAAAATTAATTGTCAAGTGTACAATTTGAAATGAAACATTTGGCTTCAGTATGAGCTGTTTTTAAGTGTTGTTAAACCATTACTGAAGCAGACAAGAATTGTTTTAAAATCTCCGCAATTGGACTCCTACGTTCCCGTCCAACTGCACTAGCGCTAGGCGTCCGTTCGGAATTACCACTGGTGATCTGGAATCAAAACTGTCAGAGAAATCACTGATTTCAGTGAGGTTGCGTCTGAAATGTCCATTTTGCTGGCCGCAAGACGATGAACTTGGTTCTCCTTTAATGATTTTTCAGTGCTACTCAGCTCTTGGAAGTACCAAAGTCAAGACAACGCCTTCTGTGTCGGTCTGGGAACTGTCTTGCGGTGGCTGTTCAGACCTGCCTGGCATCCCCAAAGAGATCTGAGCTGGTTTCAGTGAGGGCTGTGGTGTTGGTCTGGGTTTTGAGGCTCACTTCTGGCACTTGGCTTGCAGAACTTTCCGTTTGGCGGTGAGCACAAAAAGGAAGAGAGCAACTTGCCTTTTCCGTCCCTCATTCCATTCGCAGACCTAACAATTACAAACACTGCCTTTGAGCATATGTAATAAGGAAGCTGGAGATAATAAAGATTAGCTCTCAATTATTTCAGGCACACTTTTCAGAGCAAAGTGATTCCGGAGCTGCTGTTCTTTACTGAGCAGAAAAGAAATAATTATGGCCCAAAAATAGCTATTGGTGTGTTATAATCACTTCTATCATCTGGGAATGCAAATACATTTTGTACCACTCCGAGGTTTAAAGCAGCTTTTGCAGCAAAGTTGTCTTTGCTTTCTAGGAAGATGCTGAGTCAGGGGGATGAGTTGGACACAGTTCCAAATCAGTGTTTGTCGTGACCAGGTACGAGGTGGCTACCTGGCTGTCAGTGCCTGTGCGGGACAGAAGGTATCCCAGTCTACTCCGAAAGCTTACCGAGATGGCTGATTACGGTGAGGTGGCCTGCTAGACATGCTGCAACTGCCGTTTCTCCTACCCCACGCATGATGAGCATTTTGGATGTCAGGGCAGGAGGCAGGCAAGTGGGAAAGCCTTGAGTTTGGCTCTGGCCTTTGTGTTCTAGCCTGAAGAGAGTGGTACACAGAATCACAGAATGTTAGGGGTTGGAAGTGACCTCTGTGGGTCATCTAGTCCAGCCTCCCAAACCCACCCATCGTGGTACACGATGCACGTAATGCCGTCCGTGGCTTCCGCGGTGTAGAAACGCTAGTGCAGAGTCGCTGCAGTTAGAAGATGGGAGACGATACTGCCTGAAGTTGTGTTTGGGTAAAATATTTGAACTGAGATTGTCTCATGGAGCCAAAACAGACTACCGCTTTCTGCACCCCGTTCCCGTGACAGCCAGGAACGAGTTCAGGCCACGGCAGAAGTGAACATAGCTGCTGAGCTGCTTTGGCACGTGCTGGGATGATCTAGTCCCATGATACAGGATCAGAGTCCAGTCCTGCCCTTCCTGTCTGTGAGGTCGTAGGAGGAGTGTGAAGTAAGTCTGAAGCCACGTGCGCTTATCTTCTTGCATTTCCAGTCACGGCACCTTAAGGAGATTACAGCCTCCAACTGCTGATCATCTTCCCTCCACCGCCCTGCTCGCTTGTGGAGCGCTCTGAGTACTCACTAACCCCCTTCAGGTTACATCGGCTGGGTTAGTGAGAATCTACTGTTCAGCAGCTGACTGGTTGGACTGAGTTGGCTCATTCTGGCAGAGTAACGGGTTGTACAGGGAGCAGAGAAGGATGGTGAAAAACAGACGGGGCAGTAACTTCCTCAGCTGGAACCCAAAGAGCTGAGACCATGCCGTGAGGGTACGGCTCGTGGGGTTCGCATCACTGCACCTCGTACGCTGGAGGAGGCAAACTCTGGATTATATCCCGACCATGTTGCTTTTTACTACTAACTGAAAAGCACATTCCACAGAGAAGGCAGCCAGCCTGATAGAGCTCTTTGTTTCTCTGCTCAAACAGCAGCGCTTTCTGGTGTTCCCTCGGGGTCTGCTTTGCCAACTGCCTAGTCCTAGCGTGTGATGTAGCTCTGTGTTTGTGATACGTGTGTTTGTATTGTCACTCGATGCAATAGTGTGTCAGATACTGCTATTTCTATTTCATCTATGAAACACATACCTTTTAAGAGAAACTCAACAGACAAGACAATGGTTTGAGGGCGAACTCCTCACTGCGGTTTCTACATATCTCATATGTGACAGCTGTACTTAATGTCATTTCTCCACCACTCTGAAATCACAGAGATCTCTCATTTCTATCCCCAATTAGAACAGGATGTTTTTTCACTGGATTCCGCTTTCACTTAGGTCAGAATAAATAAGATGTAGCTTCACTGAAGACAAAAATACATGCCAGCTTGAAACTGCAGTGAGCCTGGGAGGTGGGGACAGTCTCGGTCTAGTTGATATTGAAAAATAATTCACGTTTTATGGTCCTTTGCTCCTTGGATTTTCTCATCTTCATATGTGTTTGGTGCCTTGATCATAAACATCAAGGATAGTTGTTCTTTCCTGTATAAGCCCCTCTCTGAATTCGTGCTCTGCCCAAACTGAACCTCGCTTTTGGCTGTGGAGCCTGCCCAGTGCATCTTCGATTCTGACCGAGTCGGAAGTGGACTGCCTGAACAGCCTTATTTCACGTGCGGTTACAACTTGCGCTGAAGTTTTAACCACCCAGAAGCACCCTGGCAAGCTCCTGCCTCCCAGGCAGTTTCAATTCAGTGACTGACATTCTCCACGTATCCAAGAAAGTTCTTTCTAAGAACACGTGTTAATTTAACGGAGAGCAGACCGCTTTCATCTCGTTATTCAGAAATGGTCTGATTTCTGCCAGGCATGCCGTTCAGATCTCTTGACTGTCACCCAGCCATTGCAGCTGGGCCATCCTGCCACAGTTGTGTTGTCTCTGGTCCCCTGGCTGCCATCAGCGATAGGCTTCTACATCAACTAGGCTGCTTCTCGCCATCAGTCATAACTGAGAAGCCAAGACAGAGCTTGGTCATTCATAAAAATGGGGTCTTTTGCTCACCAGTATTATGCTTTGTTGATCTGACCTTATTTTTCATGTTTTACTTGATTTTTAATCTTCAAGGAGCAGACATTATTGCCTAGGATAAAATACTTTTATCATCTTCTAAAAATAGGCTGTAATGTGCCACAAAAGGAAATATTTAGAAGAGGAGCACAGGTTAAATGAGAGCATCACGATATCATGTAGAGCCTTTGTTCCAGTCATAACCAAGCATTCGTATTTGAAAGCAAGCTAGCAAAACATATCATCTTTGAATCAAAATCTGATCTTTATATTTATTTGTATCTTTAATGTGTCAGAAATCAGTACCGGTGAGCTACGTAGTACTTAGGAGAGAGGTGGTTTCAAGACTAGATTTGTACAGTCGGAGTCCGAGGCCTGTCAGAGCGTGACACAGGAACTTGAAGTGGTGGATGAAAGCTTTAACAAGAACGTGTTTCAACTTGCTAGAATTCCGATTTTTCTGGGCAAGTCTCACTTTCCTTCTGTGATTCGATGAGGAAGAGAGATACATCTGAAACATATTAAAACCAGGACAAAAGTGAATAAAATACTACCTCTAGAATGACAGAGTGGAATTTTAAATTATAAGATACAAAATTTACTTTTCACATGTTGAAAACCTCTTCCACATTTAAAACACGTCTTTCGCCTCTGCCATAGGTTCTGTCACGCTTTCGATCACAATAGTTTCAGCCAAGACAAAATGTTTCAGAAAGGAGGGACTCGATCCATAAAATTTCTGGTGCCGCTTGTACTTCACTTTTCCACGTTCTAGGAATAATCTCCTTTTTCGGACTCTCTGCTTATATTCATTTAAAGAGGTGCTCTGGTTTTCAAAACACGGAGCTCCCAGGGGCTTCTGGTTCTCTGAGCCGCGCGTGCTGGGGCTTTGCTAGCTGACTCGGTGAACCAAGTGCCCCGATTCCAAGAGGTGCTTGGTTCTCCGTGCGGATTGCTGCTCCCGTAGCTGCCTGAACACACGAAGAGGTACTCGCCGCTTCTGAAGTCCTAGGTTAAATTTCCTGTAATCGTGGGCAACAGATGCCATCTAACTTCCCTCACCAGGTACAAATGTCTCACCTTCTTTTCCGTGTGAACCCCCATAACTGTGAATATAGATAACATTTATTTGGTATGTGCCTTTCTCCCGTGCACATGCAGCCAGGCCAGTATTTCAGTGCTTTGCCCTGTGACAAACTGCTACACTCAAGAAACCAACCTAACCGTTTTCTTCCTTGTCCTTCTCTCCCGCTTTGTTCTGTAGGCTTCCTCTCGCAGCTCGTCTATGACCGGCCGGTGACCGAGTGCATCCGGGCTGGCCATTACGCCGCCAGTGTCATCATCAAACGTTCAGGTTGCACCTTCCCAGAGAAGCCTGACTTCCACTGATACTGGTGGACTGGAGGGATCAAGAGTAACTCCCATGTTGGCGTGGGATTGCTGCCGAAATTTTGCCTCCTTCCCTTTCCTCACCCTTCCAATTCCCTGCATCAACGCTTCTGTACTTCTGTTCGTTGTATTCTCAACAAAAGATGTATTTCTATGGTGTTTTCCTTTACGTACTGCTTCCATGTCTCAGTAGTCTTAACTTTTGGTAACAGTGCTAAGTGAAACTTATTCTCTCATCCATCAGGAAAAATTGTTCTATTTACACAGTTTATAAGGAAATCCCATGTAAATGACACTGCTGATTAACACCATTACAATATTTCTGTTGAATTACCTAGTTTATATCCAGCTGTGGCCAAATCCTACCCAACTTAGGTGAAATCAACAGACCTGACTCTTTGTCACTTAAGGTTACAAACCAGGAATCGTTCTTTCTATAAACTGGAGTCCCGCTGGTGTGAGAGCAGTGTAAATGTCCCCAGAATCTCCGTACGGCCTTGAGCGTGCGAGGTCTGGCTGCCAGAGCCAGCCCAGCTGCCGTGCAAGCGAACAGCTCTTTTGTCGGTAATTTGAGGAGCTGATATGAAGCCGGTGCCGTGCGTTCAGTCGTCTGGCGCCGACGCCAGCAGCTTTGGGTCCGGCACTGCGTGAGAGCGGGGTCCGGCCGCTCTGTGCGCGGTCACGTTCGTCTGTCTGGTGAGCTAGCAGATCGGTACGTTCAGTGATTTCAGGGCACGAGGTGATGGTAAACATAAACATGCAGATAGAGCCTATCTCCTCCACGTGAGCTTTCTAGAGGTACACATTGTGAAAATGAGGTACAGAAATATTTATGCAGGAAATATTGACAGGATATGCCAAATGGAATCTCTGAAACGCACATTTTTAAACTTTTAATTTACTTTGGATAATTAAGCAATATGGTGGATTTTGTTTGTATTTACAGTATTCAAAGAGGTGATCTGACACTGCATTCATTACTTTGCTATGTAATTTGATACTGATAAATAAAAAATTGTCATACAGTAACTCCTGGTTTTGTATTGGCATGTGTCCGGCTTTCTTCCAGGTATCGTACTGAAGTGGGAACAGGGAGCAGGTGCTTAGCCCACGGTACCTGCCAGATCTCAACATTTCATATGTGGCTTTCGGTGTCCAGGTGGGTGTTCAAGGGTGATCTCAGCAACAAGGAAGGGAAGGAACATCCATTTGGTGATTGTACTGCAGGAGAGACGAAAAATTAATGGCTCGGGTTCATCAAAGAATGTTAAGTTGGGGTCGGCTTCGCACCTCACGGCATAGCGCAGAACTAGGGATGCACGGAGGCTGACTGTGGTTGGGACAGCTTGTGTGTTGCAAAGAGAATGGAGAGAAACCCAGGCCGTGATCCCAATCCCCTTGTTCGGCCGAGGATCCAGTTTGGTGCATTGGACAGCTGGCTTGGTCGTCGTAGGGATCACCTGGTGGGACCCCTGCGAGAGCGTCAAGGAGCTTCAGACCAGCACTTCTCAAAATCCTCGTGGGGCCACGGAGCTCAGGCAAGCACAGGTCGCTGCGCTGTAAGTACGGTCTGTTCTTCGAGGACTTGGGCTCACAGTTTCTGTCTGAAAAAGGCTGCGCGTACGGGCCGTGTCTGTTTGTGAACCTGCTCCTTTGAACTCTGTGCAATGAGATTTGCCTGGTTTCTTCGTAGCGCTGCTCTCGGGAGAGCTGCGGACTTTACATTTCTCATGTTCTAGCATAGGAGAGCAGAAGAGGAGTGGATATATTGGGGTGAAAAAGGAACCGCAAACAAAGCCGAAAGAGGCTGCAGTGTACATGGTCTTCAGACTTTGTGGACTGATCAGAAAAATGTTACTTTTTACATCTCGTGGTTAATTTTTAATTCTTTAACTTGATGTATCCATGCGATATATTTTAATCAAGAAAAGCTGACAGGCTGAGGAAGGATGTGTTGCAATCCCTGCTTTTAATGTGTGGTCCCCGATGCTTACTGCATGAATTTGGCTGTCAGTGAGGAAAAACTCAATGGTCTAGTGATTATGTTTGCTGTTGCCTTTGCTCTGCTTCCGTGACACTTTCCTTTCGTTTTGAAACAACTTTATCAATGTCCTGGCCGGAAAATGATGGCCTATTTAAAACAGAATATTTACCGTACCAATGAAACGATGGGACAGCATAACTACTGTAAAGGAAGGGAGAATATTTAAAGGAAGTTAGTCATAACATAGCAGGGGGTTCATTCTTTCTGTCTGTCTGTCTGTCTGTCTTTCTGTCTGTCTGTCTGTCTGTCTGTCTTTCTTTTTGTCTTTCTGTCTGTCTTTCTGTCTTGCTTTCTCTTGGCTATTCCTTGTTTTCAATTGAGGGTGCAAGAGAGTCAAGTCAGAGGTTCTGTTCTGAGCTTTTCCGCTGACGTGCTTGGTGAGCTCGAGCTCCTGACATTTGGCCCCAAGTGTCAGCTACAAAGCATAATTCGAGGCCAGTGGGAGCAGCTGAGGAATAAACTACTCCCCGATTCACGGAAGGGCATCGGAGTCTGACCTGCTCTATTTAGCCATTCATTATTTCTCCAATATCTGTCAATGGATATTCTTGGATGATATATAGGCACTTAGAAACATATTGCCAAATCATGCTAAATAACTTCAATTTGTGCTGTCAAATTGCCTGACAATTTCATTCTGGATTCTTTTCAGGATCTGTATTTCTTTCCTGCTTCTCACTGATGAAGGGGGTTTTGTCTGTATAATGGATAATGGTGCCATCCTTAATATCGTCTCTCACAAATGTTCTTCCTCTCTCTCTGTGGTCCTCTACCACCTCATTCCACCCAGAGGCACGTTAGAAAACTGGGCTTCCTGAAAAACCACGTTGAAAGAGTTGCCTGCCAGTGACGCGTGCCACTGTCTCAAATCCCAGATGGGATAACTGAAGCAAGTCTGTCGCTGAGCTTGAGCCGTCACTCAAACCCAGCGTTCTTACCTGGGTTCCTGGAATGCAAATATTGGAAATCCTTTTCCCACTAGCCACCGTCCAAAGCCCATCACCCTCACCCAGACAAAACTCTTCCCTTTTGCTGGAAATAGGACTGCACCTGCTGTGCCCAGCATCGTGCATTTTTGGCTTGGTTTCGTACCCCGTGTGCGGGTGGCAGTGCTGCTGGGATCAGCAGGCCAGGGCGCAGGGCTGCAGAAAGCCGTGTGCTAAAATCGGGAAATGAAGGTTGTGCTTCCGTTTCTGCAGGTGGTCCGCTGCAGATCCCTTCCCTCTCTCTGTAAAGAAGGCGGTGAGCTCAGTTCCATGGTGAACGCAAGAGGTGAAGGTGGGGAGAATGCAAGCAGGGCAGCAGCAGCCACACCTCTGCCTGTGCTCATTGCTGGTCTTGTGATTATTTGAATTTTCCCTTTTGTGCGTGAACTAATTCAAAGCTATTTGTTTGCCCTTGAAAAATAGTGCTAGCTGTTACTGCTTGTTTGAGGGTTAAGGCACGGAAGGGAAGGGGAAAGGAAAGAGGAAAGGCAAGGCAAGGAAAGGAAAGGAAAGGAAAGGCAAAAAAAGGCAAGGGAAGGAAAGGCAAGGAAAGGCAAGGAAAGGAAAGGCAAGGAAAGGAAAGGAAAGGAAAGGAAAGGAAAGGAAAGGAAAGGAAAGGAAAGGAAAGGAAAGGAAAGGAGCTTTACTTATCAAGTGACGTAAAATATGCTACATGAAAATGACAGTAGAAATGCACACTGTTTTAAGATGACAAGTCTGGGAGCAGTCTTTAATTTAAAGAGTCTTATCCACATTTTTCATAAAGAAATGTTAATTAAAAGTGTGATGACATGTTTGGGATTTAAAGGAAATCTTTCTGTGAAGGATTTACAGCAGTCGCAGCGCCAGAGCATTAGGATTACAGATCCTTGTGCTGTTCCTTTGCAGTGATCATGTGGTTGGCCTGCTGTTAAATATAGCTCCCGTTTAGTGAATTGAGACAGGCACGGGAAAGGTAAGGATAGTTTCCCTTTCACCAGCGGGATTTCTGAGGTGCTGGAGATTATACAATTCATTAGTTTTTACATAAGATCAAAGGGAGAGAGGAAGTCTTAATTTGGGCACCGGCTGCTCCTGTCTGAAGGTCTTGCCGATTTAAACGAGGAGAGAACGCGCGCGGTGCTGGCGGCTTGTGTGAGAGCGGGAGCCTATTGTTTTATCTCTTACTAACTCATTGTTCTCTTCCCGGAGATAATTCTCACACTTCAGACCTTGAGAGATAGTTACGCCTGTTGTGAGTAGTTCAGCAGCCAACTGGCTCAGAGGTTATTGCCTAAGCATCTTTCCCTTGGTCTAATCCCCTGCAAGGTTTTTTTCTGAGCGGTGTTGTTAATCTAAAATGACTGCTAACTGACTCCTGTGTCAAACATTATTCATTATGTGCTTTAAATGCTTCCTGCAGAGGCCAAAATAAATTTTGCTTTTTAAAAGCGGACCACGAGGAGTGCCTATGTAGGGTATTTCCTAACAGATTAGACTCAAAATGGCAGTTAAGATGATGAGGGTAAAAAAACCTGTGCTCAAAATAAAGCTTCACGGTTTAACCAGGGACGTACAAAACAGACAAACCTCAGGTACCAAACCCCACTTTTCGTATAGAATTATTTATAAGCTGTTCTGGGAGTGGAAACATGCACCCTTGCAGGGCAGGAGAAAGACTTTTGTAAAGACACGGAATAAGCGGCCTTATTAGAAAATGAAGGCCAAATAAACAATATTTTTAAAGCAGTAATTCTTTTGTGTCTTGTTTTTTTTCAGGTGTCACTGGTGTTGGCATAAAGCGAGAGGGGTTTTTTGTGTCAGTGGCACTGACAGGCCTTGCATGCGTAATGACAGTATGGGAAGAGAGACAGACAGATAGATTTGAATAGCAATAAGGTGGGTTTTCTTCCAGTGTGAAAAGAGCATGGGATTCATGTGCACCGAGACGAAGTATAGCCTTGCTGCACAGTGCAAATATTTAATGCTGT